CTTTCCAACTGGTCGTCAAAATGGATGTAATCAGCTCCGTGCAGCTAGAAAGGATAGGCAGCAACTCAAAGCGGTAAAAATCCGGAAGTCGCTTAATGCCAGTTGCCCACTAATACCACACCACGCGCCGTCTTAAACTCCACAATGCACTACAGAGGTATGCGTGTGACGTTCACAGTACTTCGGCCCGTCACCCCCTTGGCCGATTGATGGCAAGTTGGAAAGTGAGGAAGATGAAGTGTCTAGCTGCTTTATTCGCACTTGTAGAGTACCTGATAGTGTATAGGCAGAACCCAGGTGTCGCTGAAATAGACCGACTCTTGGGTAGAAGCCTCCATAATTAAATTTTTGGGCCACAAATGTAGCCAACTGTTTTTCATAGGATCGTACTTATCCCAGAAGTAACGGCCTGAGCCATGAGATGCAAAAATATAAAAAACAGCAGGGTACATGCGAAAAAAAAGCATGTGCTTTTCCAAGAATCATGTTTTCCGGAATAAGGCATGGAATTCGCATAAAATTAGATTTTATGCGAAATTAAGCACCATACGCTAAGACACACTTTTTGAGACTGTTATCTAATGAGGAGTTAGAGAAATTAATCTTCTTTACCTCGACCACTGATTTTGAGTCAAAATTTTTGACACTTTTATAGCTTCGCCATGCTATAATACGATGCGTAATTTTGAGAACATTTGCGTTGTTCACAAAGTAATTTCCTACGTATTTGCGAGTTTTTCGACCTCATGCAACCTCCAAGCTACTTTGTGGACGTGAACGAAAAAAAACGTTGGCCTGCTGATGTTGTACCTAGCATCGTCTGGCAGCATGCAAGACACCGGACTTGCACTGAGTATATCTCAGCCTCATGTTGTAGGTACTATAAATGCGCTGCTTCAAATCTATGTAGACGCGCTGGTGACTACATTTACTTTCCGTCAACAAAGGTGGGTGGAATAAGATTAAGGATGACTTTGGACACGTTCGGGTATTTTCATACGTGTGTGGTGCTGTCGATGGATCATTGATCGAGATTGCGCGACCTGCCGAGTACGAGGGCTGGTGCTGCATGTTTTTTTACTCATATATTAATATGCAAGCTGCAGCGGGGCTGCCGTAGTTTTAGCGTCAGAGGAAGACGTTCGACTCAAAGAGTCACTGATACTAAGTTCCTTATCCAAAGGACACTTACAGCCCAAGACCAGGGCTCAAAGTTAACACCTTAACTTTTATGCTTCAAAACCAAAAGTGTTTTATTTACTATTATTGCGGCCAAGCCGCCTAGGGGTAAATGTATCTCTTTAACTATCTAGCATAGTTAAACCTAATCAAATGCATAACGTGTGGCTTTCAGCCAACGTACTGAGAGACCTTGTTAACTCTCCAACTTATGTACTGAGAGTTTGTAAACTCTCCGGGTACTTCGTACCCCTGTGTGCTCCACACCATGTAACCCCGTTACACTCTCCCCCACTAAGATGAGAACATTCCGTTCTCGAAACTCTCCTCAGCGAGGTCACGTCTTGTTAAGACGGCGGAGGTTACTACACCTCACACCAGCGTTGTACAGCTCCGTGAGCTCACAAACGCCTACGCATCGTTGATGCCCAACTTCTCGTCGTCGGCCCACGGCCCAATGCTCCAAGCGCAGCGCGCATCTTGCTCTCAAGCGGTCTCAGACCTACGCTCGCGCTCCGCGCCTACTCCAAGAGCTGCAAACCGCTTAGAGCAATGCTCGTGACTCATTCGAGTCGTCGACAACAGCTCAGCGGTTGAACACTCGCTTTACAAGCGATAGGTCGGTGGTTCAAACCCACTAGGGCACAGCCTTCTCGTTTCATGAACGATTGTTCACGCTTGAACAAGCTTAAGGGCAACACCCTTTTAGCTCAATGGTTGAGCGTTGGTTTTGAGAGCCACAGGTCGGTGGTTCGATCCCCGTGCGGGACACCACTTTCGCTGTTACAGCGCATCCACATTTGGATCATGCTCATCGAGCAAGTTGTTTCAAAACAACTATGCGTCTATCGAGACGCTTGTGCCTGAACCTTGTTCAGCACAACACGAAGCACCTGCTTCCTTCGGGACCATGTCCCTAACACTACGAGGTCTCTCCACCTCCTGCTCCCGCTGCGAGCACCGCTCATACGTAAGAGCTGGCTGCTGCAGCCACTGGTCAGAGCCTGAGCTCAACTACTGACCTCAACGCTCCCCACTCTAGTGGGAGGCGCCCAGCGCCTGGCGACGCTGTCGCACGCCATGGTGGCGCTTCGGCACATGATGTGCCCGGTCGTAAGCGTCAACGACGTCAGGGCAATTTTGCCGGAGGATAACCTCAAACTCCCATGAGTTCTGTGAGTGAGGGTAACCCCTCCACTTCACTAAGTACTGGGTACGACCCTGGCGTATACGCCACGCCACAAGGCGTTCCACGTGAAGTGGAGCTCACCATGCTCATCGAGCAGAGCAGGAGGAGGCCTTGCCTCAGCTGGGCTCTTCGCGGGGAGAGTCAGCACTTGCCGGAACGGCGTCTGCGTCCATACGACGCCGGCGTCCACGACGCGAACGTTCACCTCCCATCGGTCGATCTCGAAGAGATGATCCACCTTGTGATAGGTTAGAGCCACCACTGTTGACTCACAACCAGGTCTCGGACCTTGAGCGTCCAGCTGCTCGGCTGAACGTTCAGCTTGCCTTGCTCCTGCATCTCGAGCACTTCGCTCCGCGACCTGTGCTCTGCCACATGCTGTTGATCAGCCATCTGTGGATCCACCACTTGCTGTCGTTCAGCCTCCCGTGGCTCTACCACCTGCTGCCCTGCAGCTGTCCGTGGCCCAGCCACCGTTGGTGCCAACGCCTCCGCGCTCACCTGAGCAGGGGTCTTGGTATGGCTTAAGCAAGCCGACATAGAAGACCGGATGCGTGCGCATTCTTCTTCGGAAGGTTGAGCGTATACGCTAGGCCCTTCCTGGCCACGACTTGAACGTCCTATGAACCGAGGTCTTAACTTCGTCTTGAAGACTGCAGACACTGCATGAGTAAGTAGGTTTTAGCGTTTATTAAAACTTGTCACCGACCTCAAACCTCTCACATTGCTTCTGCCCTTGCATCTGCATGTTCTTCTTGCGTGTCTGGCTTTCAGCATAGCGTCGCGAACTTGACGCAT